CTTGTCCTGCACATCCTCACCAACTCCTGCCTGTCTCAGCAAGGCACTGGGCAAGGAAAGCCATCATTCATTGGGTATGGACCAGCATTTGAAACACACTGAGAGAACAACCCCAAGTAACTCTCCTGATGGCTCCTCTCTGATGTGCTTCCAATCAGATGACAAAGCCTTCCTCACATTAGGATGAAGCTTCGGCAGAATAATTTAGGGTAGAAAAGACCTTGAAGATGAGTCCAACCATGAAATCAGCACTGCCAAGCCCCCCACTAGCCCATGTCCCTAAGCATCAAGGCTTCCATTCAGTACGTAAGACAAGAGTGAGCTGATAATTTGACAGACAGCACATTTTTGCTTGTCAGGCTGGAAGTGCAGACTTGTGATATCCTGAAGGAGGGGCCAATAAAGTGCAGTAAATTAAGTTATTGAAGACTCTTTAAACTCCATTTTGAAGTATAATTTATAGCCTTTACAACAACCATGTGCTTCAAAGGTTCAAACCCTCCAAAGCAAATCTGCGGAAAGCCTTTTCTGCGAGTGTGCCAAACTGTGTGATCCAACCATCAATCCAATCATCAAGAGGCAGAGTTCCCTGCAGCAGGATATCTGAACAAGCCTAGGGAAGATTCATCACCAGTCTTTCACTAAATTTCCACATTCTTCCATCCAAAACTTGTCCATAACATAAAAGTCAGCTGGCAGCAAGTAGGGCTCTACTTGAATCCTTCTATCAATAATCAATCTGAATCAATGAGGATTAAGCGATCATCTGGAGGCCCAAAAGACTTATCTCATCAAAACCACTTCTAACATCCAACCACTTCTAACTTATAACACCCTCCACCCGACTACCTCCTACCTCTACAAAACCCATAGGAAGAAGTCACAGCTCAGAAGCCACACAACTCAGGTCACTTGGCAGGTTGGGCTAATGCGCAGTTGAGGGCTGCCATGCACCACGCAGACCTGGCCTGAAGGTGTTGGACCAAGTCAGATGGCTCCCCTGATGGCCTTGACAAGGGTAAGTTGTGTGAGCAGTGTTCACTGGACTACACGCTCTCAGCCAAAGCTGTGCTCATGTCAGCTAAAGTTGTGCTCAGCCTCTCACAGCTTTCCCAGGGACCATTTTGCTACTTCTTCCCTCCCCTCAGTCCTCATGAAAGCACAAGCTCAGAGCTCTGCTCTTGTATTGTCTCTTAGGACTCTCTACAGTGGGGCCTTCCCTCGGCCATCATCCCTCAGCCTGAACCTCCCACCTTACATCAGGCTTCTGTGATGTAAGGCTTCTTCTTACCACAGTCACTGCACCTCTCACAGGGCTTCCTGCCTCGTGCTGAGCCTCCACACCCAACCCTATCCAAAGGTGACACTTCTGGCATCTACTGTAATATAGAATCACAGAACCCCAGGTTGGAAGGAACCTTAAAGCTCCTCCAGCTCCAACCCCTGCCACGGGCAGGGACCCCTTCCACCAGAGCAGCTTGCTCCAAGCCCCTGTGTCCAACCTGGCCTTGAGCACTGCCAGGGATGGGGCAGCCACAGCTTCTCTGGGCACCCTGTGCCAGCACCTCAGCACCCTCACAGGGAAGAGCTTCTGCCTAAGAGCTCATCTCAACCCTATATATCCTCATGAATCCAATCCATTTCACTGTTAGCACTGAAGACTGAATTAGGAGATGCAGCTAAATACAAAGCCATTTTGCATGCTCTCAGAAGTGAAAAAACGCACACGGGCTGAGCATTTGTCATGGTGGTACCTGCTTCAGCACTGTGCTTTAACCCAATGTTGGTAAAAGCTGGTATTAGTTAATGAAGATGGCAGGGTCATGAGAGAGTTCATTGAGTTCCAGTGGTGATGGTCTTGAAACACCAGATGGAAAAGTTGACAAATATGAATTAGCTTTCTTGTTTGATTCCTCTCATGTTAAATAACGCAGTCTCCTAGGTTGTCTCTATTGGATATTGTGACTAAACATCTGCCATTCTCAGCGTTTGCACTGTGTGTACACACAGAATTATCCATTAATGCGATTTGAAGACCCACGAGTCTTTGGGAATTAGTTATTTCAAGTTAAGCTAAAGCAATACACGCACCCAGCTAGTGTTCTTGTGAGACATTCTCAATATACCACCTCAAACTAGATGTGAAGAGGGTTTTAGCCTGAAGATCTCCTAGAAAGAGACATCTGTTTTGGAGCAATCACAGAGGGCTATCGCCAAAACTCTCCCGTAATAGTTATGGGCTGTAATTTGACATTTTAGATACACATTCCTCTTGCCAAATAATATCATATTTTAGCTCTTGGCAGAGAAAACAAAGAGCAGCATATATCCACGATGAGTAATTTGGTACAACGTAATCAAGGCAAGCTGCCCCACAGACTGCGGACTGAATCAGAGTTAGCGAGCTACGGGGTTGTGTCTTCTTGAATAAGTGTGTGTATTATACAGGGAACAAATTGAGACAGAAAAATTGGTTTCTTGTATTTGTTAATCTCATTTTCCAGCTGAGCCCAAGCGCAGGCTTTTATTCCAAGAGCAGATGATTAGAGGTGGGGTGGCTAAAGCCATCACTGCTGTGAGCTGCGTTCCTTGGGGGTTTCCACGCCTGCAGACGCACATCCTAAACAAGGAACCCTCTGCTCCACAGCTGTCCCAGCTCACAACCCAGTGTGTTTATGTGGACTGTCACTGCTTTGGAATTACATCACTCCATCGGGCTGTAAACGGAGCTGGCCAGGAAACACAGGCGGACCCCAGACCTGCAAGGAGGTGATCCATAGTGGCAGAGTGTGGTTGGCAGCAACAACTGCCTCAGCTACCTGTAATTAGGAACTACAGCTTTCCGTCCCTGGGCAGGGAAGTGCTGTGTCACTGGAGCAGTAAAGGGCTGTCTCTGTGCCCCTGACTGTTCCAGCACCATTAAGTGAGCTAAGTAACACAGATATTTAATGCGGTCGATGGGCTCTGCATGGCTGAATCTCGCCATCCGCATTTTACTCAGAGCCTAAAAAGAGTAAAGGAAAAACAATCTGTGGTCTCTAATCTTGATGCAAGGATTCACATTCCTGCAGAACAATGTGGGTTAGTAGTCAGCCCTCTGCCTTTCTGCATCCCAGTTTTGTGCAAACCCGCCCAAACCAGCTGTAAGGCAAGTTCATGTTACATGTCAATAGGGAGATTAGCTGGAGCTCATCTCAGCATTCCTTGAGCTCCCTGCTCTAACTACAAGAAAGAATGATCCAGATACTTTTAAATCCTGGCTTCTCTCACGTTCTGGTTTTAAAATGAGAATAATTTCCTTAGTTTGCTATCAGGCATTTCTTTAAAGTAAAAGCAATCACCTTAAGCATGTATCTCAAACAGTGAAGTGGGTTTTATATGTTATTTAAGTCCCATTCAGTTTTCGGAGAACATATACCTTGAAGGCAGCAAATGTATTTGTTAAACAGTGTTATTTTTAAGAGGTCCTAGGGTATGTTAAAGATACATCAATATAAGCAAAGGAAGATTGCTAGTAAAATGATACATTTAACTATTTAAATGTAACATGTGCTGTGATTAAGTCAACATTCCCCAAATGCCATAATATATATCGATCACTGCAGATTCTAGTGTAAAATACACTAGAACCAGAGATATTTCAGCTGGAAAAGGCTAATTTATGGCTTATGTCACTGCAAATTGTTATCCAAGTGCGTTTACCAGTTCAAGCAATGGAAAACAATGAGCTGAAAGGGTGAGAAAAGTCAACTGTGTTCCTTAACACCAGTGTTGCTCATGGCTTAAGAGAATGAATGAATTTCTAGAGAGAATGCCAGAAATGTTGCTCGCCTCACATCAAGGACTGGCGACAAGAATGGAGCACCAGGAAGAAAGCTGGAAGAACACAGGCTGCTTCTTACAAGGAAAAAGTATAGTGTTAGACATTAAGCCTGGGAGGGTGCTGAGGCGCTGGCACAGGGTGCCCAGAGAAGCTGTGGCTGCCCCATCCCTGGCAGTGTTCAAGGCCAGGTTGGACACAGGGGCTTGGAGCAAGCTGCTCTAGTGGAAGGGGTCCCTGCCCGTGGCAGGGGTTGGAGCTGGAGGAGCTTTGAGGTCCCCTCAACCCAAACCAGGCTGGGATTCTATGCTATTTTCAGGACCTCTGACTGTAACAGCAATAAACCCTGCCTAAAAGAATAATGCGAACCATGTAGAATATGTCACAGTGAGCCAATTTCCTCTTACAGCAAAACAGAAATCATTGTCCTGGAATGCACCGAAACCTCTTAGCATGAGTTCCTGAAATATTCATGAACATTAAGCAAAAAGCAAGCTTTCTGGAGAATGTGTTGCTTCCCTGGAACGTACAATGCACAGTACATGCCATCCCCAGAGCCCCAAACACAGAAAAGGAAGGCTCTTTGCAGAAGGCATGCGAAGTAACGACCCTAGGGATTTTGTCTCCTGTCTACCACATACCGCACAACACTCAGCTCAAGTACTCATCCTACCTGGGAAAACTGTTATGTGATGGGGTGTTTGCTAGGGTAGATCAGGGAGGAGTTTGGAAATGTAAGATGAGGAGATGCACCAAGTGTGTAAGTTACCGATGAATAGTAGGGGAAACATTTCAACACCAGTTGGATTTAGCTTTACATTGACTTTCCAAACTTCTGCATTCTGGTTACTTTTGGAAAGTTCAGAGGCAGGAGCTTTTTAAACCTCAAATTCCTACAGTAAGCACTCTGGAAAAGGGAGGAAAAAAGAAAGGGAAAAGAGAAATAAGGAGACGTTAACTCGAGCTGCAGGTACGTGAGCACGCAGCAGCACAGCCATCCCCATCACAACTTCCCATCGCTTCTCAGTCCCAGTTTGTTTCTCGTGTTATGGAGCTACGTGCCTCTGGTTAGGCAAGCCAGGAGCTCCTCCAGAGTGAATTAGTCATGTTGAAGGAGGTTTAGGAGCATGGGAACAGCAACATCACATGAAGAGCTGGGAACAAGAGCTAAAGAGACCACTGTTGAAATGTTTATGTATTTTGTAAAGACATAAATATTTGGATCATAGCAAAAGGCCCTGCTTGGCATGGGCAGGCAGAGAGCCTTTTACCTGATGACTTGGCTCCGGTTCCAAAGACATTTCTTTTGGCAGCCTCTCCTCTCCACAGCCCAGGGCCCATGAATTATCCCTGCTCCATGCTCACAAAGCTGTTCTGGTACCATATGGTGAACCCAAGCGAAAAGGCACGCTGCAGAGAGAAAGACAAGAGGAGGAGAGCAAATTGCTACCAGGTGTAGCTTTAGTCTGACTCACATTCAAAGGCTGGGTTGCTTAAAGTGCAACTCAGACGAGCGCTTTGTCCTGTCTCTGCACAGCTCAGGCTGAGGAACCGATCTGGCTGGGAGGTGATTTTTTGCTGGAGCAGGGATGTAGAGTTTTGGGTTTTTTCCAGCTGGATTGATTTCCCATCCGGTTCATCCAGAGGCCATGCAAATTCTTGTACAAGTGGTTTTGTGGGGTGAACTGGAGGAGGAATTCAGCCATGGTAAAAATAAACAGGGGGATGGTGGGTGTTTGTTATTTTAGTGCTTCTAACCTAATTCCCAGTGTGCTACATGAATAGATCTGCTGATACTATAGAATCCCAGCCTGGTTTGTGTTGCAAGGGACCTCAAAGCTCCTCCAGCTCCAACCCCTGCCACGGGCAGGGACCCCTTCCACTAGAGCAGCTTGCTCCAAGCCCCTGTGTCCAACCTGGCCTTGAACACTGCCAGGGATGGGGCAGCCACAGCTTCTCTGGGCACCCTGTGCCAGCGCCTCAGCACCCTCACAGGGAAGAGCTTCTGCCTAAGAGCTCAGCTCAGTCTCCCCTCGGGCAGGTTAAAGCCATTCCCCTTGGCCTGTCCCTAGGGGCCCTTGTGAGAAGTCTCTTCTGCCCCTGGAGGACCAGTTTGTTGATTTACAACAAACCCCCATGTACTGTGGAACACGTACACAGGGGAAGCTTTCCTCCTGTTCCTCATCTGCTGTTTGCAGGTCTTCTTGGACTGAAAATGTAACCTCATAAAGCAAAGGCAGAGCCAGCCATCATTTCCTCTCAGGGGGCACAAGACGCTGCTATGTGTATCAAAGAACGCAAAGGATTCTTCTGTTCTCCATTCAATCAAGTGGCTTTGCTTCTCCTACACATGCTTGAAGATAAAATCCAGTGGGAACTTTGCAGAATGACTGGGGCAGGATGTGTTCTGAGCCAGCAGGAAGCAGACACTGTGTAGGTTTACCATGGAATGGCTATTTCTAGCAACTCTCTCTCGCAGGTATCGATCACAGTCTAATGTTGGGAATAACATTCCCATCTGGAGGTCTGGCTGTAACTGCTATTTCTATGGGTGTAGCAACTTCTTTTGGATTCAGTTGTATTAGAAAACAGCAGGCAAGCTTCCTAAAATGATTTGCAAAGACATTTGTAGTGTCAAGTTATAGCCTTGTAATGTTTCTGAGGGTTTGTTACTGCCTAATAAGTGTCAGGTTGATTAGAACTGCCTACAAGTGTGCAATGAGAAGTGCTGCTGTGCAGCAGGAAGCAAGAATTGCTCATGGACCACAACTCCATTTGACAGAGAGATGGAAAAGTCACAGAAATACGGATTTCTTCTTGTATAATGACATCTCTAATGCATTTGGTGTTTCTGTGCAGGTATATTCACTGGTGATGCTGTATGGCTCAGCTCGGTGCCTGTCACAGCTCATTAGATCTCAGATCAAAGTTAGCACTGATCTTTAACCCAAAGCTCTTCAATGTGTGCAAAAGAAATAGGAATAAGGGAAATTCATTTTCTTACTTGCATTTTTAAGGCTTATGACCATTTAGTGACTGAAGGCTTCATCTTCTGAGCCTGCTATCAATACCTGTCTCAGTCAACAGGAAGAAGGAAAATGAATGTTTTACAGTGGATATTCATCATCTTTAAAGGAGACCTGTCATTAAGAAAGACCCCTGTCAAAATAGCTGACATTTAAGGTACTTAAGATACATTATTCATGAAACTTGCACAAGGAAATGGATATAATAAGCCAAAAGAGGTCTGTTAGACAGACAAGGGGAAGTAGGAACCCTCCCAGTCCATTTGCACTGTTACTTGAGTTTCTGTGGTTGTTCTGAGCTCCCCAACCTGCACCAGCATCCGAGTGAAATCACTGTTCCCTAACCTGTTGACTGTTCAGACTTGGAACATGGTGGGAGGCTCAGGGTGAAGTTACAGGAGACGGAGCGAGCTGATCTGGTAGCTCTGTGATCCCTAAAGGGGGAGGAACTGATCCTCCCACTCCCAGTGATGCATTCCTGAAGCTTATCATGTGCCGGCTCCAGTGCTTGTTGGGCCCCTCCAACTGCTAACCAGGCAGAAAGCACACTCTTTATCTTGCAAAGCTCAGAGTTTTTGCCAGACAGGGAGTTAAATCAGCGCACCAAAAGGTCTAATCATTGTTGTGCTTTGAATAATAGAGTGGAAGTGGAAGCATAAGGCTTGGACTAAAGGAAAGGTATTAAAAAGAGGGACCACAACCTCCTCCTTTTAGGTTGCTCACCAAATCGCACACGAAGTCTTTGTACACTTGTGATCCATGGAAAGAAAACCCTGTGAAATTTAACAACAAACAGCCCACAGTCCAAGGAGCACAGCTACTCTGGCAGCAAGGAGCAGTCAGCACTGCAGGGAGGGTAAAGGCCTTTCAACCAAATACTTCATAAACGGGGGCTCAGATCCTGAGTTGGGTGCCTGGTAAGACAACTGCAGGCACAGCTCCAGGGTGGAAACGTTCTGTAAGCAGTCCTGGGGAGGTTAGGAGGAAATAGAACTGCTCCTGCCTCAGAGCAGATTTTGTCAAAGGCTAAACTCCACGTCTTCACCCTCTCTGCCTTTGTGCTTTGGCAAAGAACAGGGACCATGACTTTAAAGTAGCTCTGTGACACCTATATGCTGTGCAGCACGAGGACGGAGGGGATCCTGCCCCTCTGCTGCTCTCTGGGGAGACCCCCCCCGCAGCCCTGATCCAGCTCTGGGGCAGCAGCACAAGAGGGACGTGGAGCTGTTGGAGCGAGGCCAGAGGAGGCCATGGAGATGCTGCGAGGGCTGGAGCAGCTCTGCTCTGGAGCCAGGCTGAGAGAGCTGGGCTGGGGCAGCCTGGAGAAGAGAAGGCTCCTGAAGGGGAGACCTGAGAGCAGCTCCAGCGCCTGAAGGGGATAACAAGAAGGTGGAGATGAGCTTTAAGCCAGTTTAACCCAAAGCATTCCACGGCTCTAGGAATACTGCAGAACTTTCCAGGTCCCTCTGCTCCTATCTCCTTGTACAGCCAGGACTGAGCACAGGACTGGTACAACCCCCCTACATGAGATTTATTCAACTGAGAAAGCTTCTGGTACAATTGGTATTCTCCAGTGGTGGTTTCCACCCAATTCAAAAGGACCCACACGAACCCAGCTGGTTTTGATTACCAGGATGCCTTGTTTGTGCCGGAGGTCTGAAACCTCCATCCTCCCCTGCCGTAGGGAATCAGTGCCGAGAGGAAGGGCAGGTCCTGAGCACACCCATGGTGGGCAGCCACGGGGCTGTGTGGGAGATGGGTGCAGCCTCGGGCCTCCAGCGATGCGGAGCAGTGAAAACGCTCTCACAGCAGAAAGAACCTTTAGGAGAAACCGAGGAGAAGGAAAAGGCACAAGAAGCACTTTAACAACGCGGGGATCTCTGACTGATCCCAAATATCCTCCCACAGCAGCTCCCATAACTCACACCACGGGTTGCAGGGCGGTGACCTGACCACTGCTGCCTGCAGACTGCCTGAGCAGCCAGACCAATCTGCACTACATCTATTTTCACCGTTTCTTATCAAAACCCTGACCTGACCCTAACCTTACCAGCCATATAAAGCCTGCTGCTGCCAGGGAGTGATCGCTGCTGGCATTTATACTGCCACAATTACATCCAGGGCTGTGGAGGGCTCAGTTGTCCTTTCGAGACAGACCAGATCGAGGAGTGGTATGTCTAGTACCTCGTGGCAGGATAAATCCGGGAGGCTCTATGACTCAGGAATGACTCACTGCTCCTCCTCTCTTTCGTCCAGACCCTTGGGGGCGTTCTAATTGATTGTGGCTCTGTATCGGCAGTAAATTATTACCCCAGCTCGGCTACCCTGTGCAGATGGGAGCCAGACACGTTCTGCTCCTTGCTCGACACGCAGGAGGGGTAAAAAGGTGAGCAGACACGTTGTACGACTGCACACTGAGAACTGGGGCTGGGTGACCTGCGCAGCCATCTAAAAGGAAAGCAGAGAAAGAGGGCAGTTATTTTTCCTTCCCTGAATGCCACGCTGCCCAGGTTAATTATTTGGAATGAGACTGCTCCTACCAAATCCCTCCAAAATCCCAATTAACTAAACTAAGGTTGACCTTTCTGAGAGTTATTTCTAAGAACTTGGATAAAATAAGATGGGATGACTCAAACAAGAGGAGGCAAGTGTCTGCATCACAGCTGAGCCACACAGACCTGCTTTCACTGTCAAAATCAAGTATCCTAAAACAACAACCCCCAGGAATGATCAATCTTTTTTTATTCTTTAGCAAGACAGATTGAAGTATCCCAGTGGAGCTAGATGGGAAGTGTTCAAACAGTGCCCACAGAGTCTGCAGGAGTCTTCACTATCCAAGTTTCAGGTTGGAAAGGAAAACATTAACTGCAATAAGAGGTTGAGGGAGGGGATCCTGCCCCTCTGCTGTGCTCTGGGAGACCCCCCTGCAGCCCTGATCCAGCTCTGGGGCAGCAGCACAAGAGGGACGTGGAGCTGTTGGAGCGAGGCCAGAGGAGGCCATGGAGATGCTGCGAGGGCTGGAGCAGCTCTGCTCTGGAGCCAGGCTGAGAGAGCTGGGCTGGGGCAGCCTGGAGAAGAGAAGGCTCCTGAAGGGGAGACCTGAGAGCAGCTCCAGTGCCTGAAGGGGCTGCAGGAAAGCTGGAGAGGGGCTTGGAACAAGGGCCTGTAGGGACAGGCCAAGGGGAATGGCTTTAAGCTGCCAGAGGGGAGACTGAGATGAGCTCTTAGGCAGAAGCTCTTCCCTGTGAGGGTGCTGAGGCGCTGGCACAGGGTGCCCAGAGAAGCTGTGGCTGCCCCATCCCTGGCAGTGTTCAAGGCCAGGTTGGACACAGGGGCTTGGAGCAAGCTGCTCTAGTGGAAGGGGTCCCTGCCTGTGGCAGGGGTTGGAGCTGGAGGAGCTTTGAGCTCCCTTCCAACCCAAGTGGCTGCCGGGGCACTGGTTCGTGCTGTGCTGTTCTTACATCCATTTATCACAGTATTTCTCATAGTTGTTTCCTATTTGTTGTGCAGATGAATATCGGACACTAGAGAATGTGGGCTCCCACCCAGTGACTCATGTGTGAGCACAGCACAGCTACGTAACAGTTACACACATGCACAATGCTGTGGTGCTGGAGAGCAGAAGATGATTAATACATATAATGGGATTCTGTGGAGAAAATACAGAAAGGAATCATTTAGCTCTATCAGTGGGGATTTTACCACTGTGGAGAGCTACAACAATAAGTTGTAACTGAACAATGACATCCTAGAGGGAAAAGAATTCCCTCTGAAGAGCTCCTTGGGAATAGTTTCCCTGCTCCAGTGCAGAAACCTCGCTTATTTAAGACCAGCAAGAAGACGGGATGTCATTAAATTCTCCCGTCCCCTGTTTCTGTGCTCTCTGACCTTACATTTATAACTAACTCCATCCTGATTTTGCCTCCGCGAATTTGATAACTCCAGAAAACAGACGGGAAGCGGGAAGAGCGACGGGTGCCAGGATCTGGATTCCTCCCGCACCTAACCCGGCAGAGGGAAGCAGCACCGGCGCTTCCAGCTGAGGCCAGCCCATCCGCGGGAATGCCGCCTCGGGATGCTCACAGCCCCGCTTTCATCTGGCGCAGTCCCCAGCACCAACTGCGCCGGGGGAAGAGCGAGCGTGCAGGAATTCACAGCATTCCCGCTCCCGCTAATCCCCGGCTTTCCCGCTGCGCCTCAATGAAGCGGGCTTGGGATGCATGGCTCTGCTGGGGGGATCTGCGGAGGGCTTAGAGCCCCCCTGGGGGCAGCGGTACAGCGAGCAAATAACCAGCGGCAGGGCCACGGTGATGCAGTGTGCTGGGGGGGGAGCCCCTTGCCTCTGCTCTGCCCACCCCACTGCTCCCTGTGTGCGAGGGAGCGGGCGCAGAGGAAAATCCAGGGCTGCTGCCACGTGCTGGGGTGCTTTACGGGCAGGTTATAAAGCTGCCCCCCGCTTCCCTGGGCTCGCTGCAGAGGGACAGGCCGCGTTACAAGAAAAAGGCATAGAAGATGTTTAAGCCAAGACCTCTGGAGCATAAAGATGGTTGCAACTTGACAGCAGATCTGAGGATCTCTCTGGCTGGAGCGGGGCCAGAGAAGGGCAGCGGAGCTGGAGCAGGGCCTGGAGCACAGGGGTGATGGGGAAGGGCTGAGGGACCTGGGGGGTTCAGTGGGGAGAAGAGAAGGCTCAGGGGGGACCTGATGGCTGCCTACAAGTGCCTGACAGGAGGATGGAGCCAGGAGGGGCTGGGCTCTGCTCCCAAGGAACAAGGGATGGGACAAGAGGAACCGGCCTCAAGCTGCCCCAGGGCAGGTTTAGATGGAGCTGAGGAACAATTCCTGCCCTAGAGGGTGCTGCAGGCATTGGAACAGGCTGCCCAGGGCAGGGCTGCAGGCACCGTCCCATCGAGCGTTCACACAGTGTGGAGGGGAGGCCTCAGTGCCATGGGTTAGCGGTGGCCTTGGCAGGGCTGCGTAACGGTTGGACTGGGTGAGATTAAAGGGCTCTCCCAACCTGGTTGATTCTATGAAGATAGGTAAGTGCAAGGCGCAAACCCCAAACCCTCATCCCTGGCTCCCTCCTTCTTCCCAGGCTGGGCAATAATAATTTAATATCAAATCAAAGGGTCATTATAAAAACAAGACCTAACAGAGCAGGACGGTGGGAAGGCTCTGGAAGTGCCACACTTCAGCAACCAGCCTGAACCTTAGCAGAGAGTCACTAAGGATCTGACTGATCAGCCGGGTACCTGGGGACTGTGTAACTGTGTGTATGAATTCCAACTGTAATTATAGAGCCCCTACTATAAAATAGCATCACTGAACCACCCTGAGGCTTGAAAAGTGTAAAGCCTCAGATGCTCACGATGGAATGTTTGTAGTATGTGCAGAGCTTCACATCTCTCTGTTTCCCCAGCTTTCTCTAAAGGCAAACTGATTTTCCAGCAGTGTGCCCTTGAGCAGCTCTAGTTACTATTGTCAAGATCAGGAGGAAGGAAATGTGATGGATGATCCATATTTCCACATACACTCATAAATGACACAGGCAGTCATTCGCCATTTGTAAATCAGCAAACGCTGCAAGGTTCTGTGAGCTTTTTACCTTTACTTATTGTTTCCTGCATGCTTTGAAATCCACTCTGATAACTCTGGGAATATTCCGATGTGCCACCTGGAAACACAATGAACACCATTAATAATTAATCGCAAAGAAAACAGAATGTGGCATCTGGATTATTTGGCCAATTATAAACATAAACCACACAGCTCTGAACCCTGCACTGGACAAACACACAGCAAGTAACTTGTGACTGTGTCGTAGCACGGCAAGAAATGAAAATGCCTCATTTCCAAGACTGTTCTGATCCAGCTCCATGTGCAGACAAAGCGGAAGCATTGGGTAAGCCATTCTCCATGGATTAATTACTGAGCCCAGCGAAGAGCTCGCAGTGTTGCCTTAGTCTGCTCTGTGAAGGATGCTCTGTGGGGGGTGAAACTGTTACTCTGAGTAGCTGTAACTCACCCCACTGTGTGCAAGCCGCCTGCTCTGCAGCGCAGCCAGCTCACAGGCTCCTATTTTCTCTTCCTTGATATACTGTTAGTAGCTTAGATCCAGATAACATAATATTTTCCACTAATTTCATACCTTTACAAATGTTGCTCCTGAGCTCTGAAGAATCAGAACGCTGCTGCAGCCCTGCTAGAGCAGCTCCCGATGCCACAGCCGCTCCCGCGGTGCATCATTAGCACTCTGGCACTAATGAAGCTGTTAAATGCTGCTGCTGTCCTGCTGAGACCCGAGGGTAACAATCAGAGACCTAAAAATGAGGAAGCTGGGTTGTGTTTTCAAAGCGGAATACGTTACAGCTGGAAATCTCTTTGAGGGTTTTGTGGGGAAATTCACTAGGACTGCACATCCCAGCCATGGGTTTCTCCAATATCCTCTCTACAGACATCTCAAAGCTCCCTGTTTACAGTGATCCCCAGGTCACCAGTGTGGACTGGAGTTACTGGAGGCACAAAGAGGGCTACCCACTCAGTGCCCAGCTCCATCTGCTGCAGGAAGCCCTCAGTGCCACTTGCCAGCAGGAAACCTGGTGCTCCATCTCTTCTCTTCTGGATCATAGGTATGGTCAACCTTACCCAGAGGTGCTTCTCAAGCCAGCATCAAAACCAGAGGGAACCAAGACAACGAAATGAAGTGTTACCATCACAAAGCAGGGCCAGGCCTGCAAGCAGCCAATTTCCACTTGGAGATCTTTCTCTGACAGTCCTGATTTTACAGTGCTGCTATAAATACTGGATTAAAGTACCTTGCAAGGGCAAACCTTAGATTTCCTTCCATTTCTCCAGCAGTGCTCATTCAGTGATCCAGAAGAGCTTCTTAAAAGCACCAGGTTGCTTCCAATTTGAAAGCCTGTGTCCCTTTTCTTACTTTATTTTTAACAATACCAGCTAAAAATGGCTCCATTAGAACTGAGAGCCCACTGATAGGTGAGGGGTTTTTTGTCCTCTTAAATGATTAAATTGTGGTCCTGAAGGATGAACGCTGAAAAAAGGATCTTGTCAGACAAAATGGGTGACATTTGAAGGCCTCTTTATGCAACAGCAAGGCTGAGAGCTGCAAAGGAACCACAGGTGACCCTGGTTCAAAAAGATCTCGATTCAAAAGATGTATCCAATGGCATAGAGGTTTCAAGGAGGCTGTATCCATCGCTGTGCTTTAAGGGCTGTATTGAACGAGCCCCCCGCAGCGTTGCTGCCTGCAGTTGTTGAGTGAATGCTTCTCACACCACAGCTCAGTTAAATCAAGGGTGTCTGGGGGAAGATGGTCCAGGGAAGTCACTGGCCAGGGTAGCAGAGGTGACCCACAGGAGGCTGGAGACCTCAGAACCCTTCCAGCAGTCTTTTTAAATGTGCCTC